CTATTTTGCAGATTACCTGACTTGTTTTTACAAGTTAAACCATCTTAAAATTTTTGGAATAAACCTAACTTCCTTATATGATCATTCTTATTACTATATTGCTATTAACTTATTAATGTCTTGTTGAAGATTTTTGCCTTATGATCATGATTAAGATTGGCTTGTGACTTTCTTAACATGTCATTGTCAGTTTCTCTTAAGTTGTGGGAGTGGTTTTTGTTGTTATTGTTTGTTTTCTGGGAGAATTGTGTAACTGGTTTTCTTTCTTAAATGAACAATGGAATTCACCTTTGAAAGCCTGTTGTGCTCAGGCTTTTCTTTGTGGAAAGGTTTTAATTAATTGTTAATTTTCTTTAGTGATTATCCAGAGCATATATTTCTTCCCATGGCAATTTTGGTAAGTCGTATTCTTCTAGAAAAATTTCACCTAAGTTTTTAATATGTTGTTGTTCATAAAATCCTTTCTTTATCTTTTTAATGTCTGCAGGATATATAGAGAAATTCCCTTTTCATTCTTGACTTTATTTGTGCCCTTTTTTTTTAAATCCCTGTATCAGCCTTACCAGGGATTTAGCAAATTTACTGGTTTTCTAGGGACCAATTTTTGGTCTTTTCTATTGATGTTTGCTTTCAATTTCATTAATTTCTACTCCTTTAAATTTTCTTCTTTCTGTTTACTTTGAGTTTTAGATATAAGTGTGAATTGATTGACCTTCAGTGTTTTGAGTTATTTGTGGGGTTTGAGTTTGAGTTACGTATAGGTTTTCTGCAGCATCTATAGGGACAATTCTGTTTTAGTTTCAGACTCATATGGATTTAAACCTCTGCTCAGCTTCTTAAAAACTGTGGAACAGGTTCAAATTTCAATAAATAATAATAGAGCATCTAGTATGTGCTATAGAGTCCTGAGGGATGTAGCTGTGAACGAGATAGTCTGATTCCCACTTACATGAAACTTACTTTGTAGTTACTATTGCTCTCAGTTTCCCACCTGCAAAGATTTATTATAGGTGACAGTGATGATTAAGAGCTTATTGTGTATCAGGCACCCAGGCACTGCTTCACTAATGTTCAGCAAATTAATCCTTATCAAAACTCGATAAAGGAACTAGTCTTGCTATTCCCATTTTAGAGATGAGGAACCTGAGGAACAAAGAGGTTAAGTGACTTTCTTGATGTTATATAGCAGATAAGTGTGCAGAGCTGGGACTGGAATCTGATGCCGTCATATGCCAGAGAGGATCCTGCAGTAGATGTGCTCACTTTCTCTTTTTGCTTTTGTTAACTCCTCCTCATTATCCTTTGCTGTTTGTGGTCTCAATGAAACATTTGAGGAAAAAACCTTAATCTCCTAGTTTAGCCTTACAGTTTTCTTTGGAATGTTCTTTATTTAAAGAGTTTGGTAGTTTCTCCCCCTTTGTTGTCATTAATTATTCCATAGCTTTTGATTTGTATTTATACTTAAAATGATATAGTTATACAAATATTTATATATTTTAATTTATATTTATAGCTGTATTCAGAAAGATTTAGCCGTCATGTAGGCTGCTGTTGAATTCCAAAAGTTGGATAGAACAGATTGATAAATTATTTGTTTTTAACCTGAAGTCACCGTTACTAAGTTTACCCTTTTTCAAAGTGGATGGACTTTTCAAAGAAGTTTGCCTACATTACAAAGATGATTTGCTTCCTCTCCCCTCTTCTACTGTAGTCTCTCTCTTGAAGACTGCAGTAAATTTTTATGGCTGGTTTCATTAACGGTGGCTTAAATTATGCATTTCCCCTGTATAATTTCAATCCATACTGAAAGAATATTATAGAATAGTTCTCTTTGATGTCCATACTATTATAGAATAGTTCAACTTTGATATCTTTATGTTATCACCAAAATCTTTATATCTACATCTAAACTCAGCATCTTCTGCCCTAAACTAGCTTCCCTTTTCAACTTTCCCATTCTCCATAATTTAGTCTGAAAAGTTTTAACCCCAAGCTAGTCACTTAAGTTTTTCTCATTTAGAAAATTGAGCTTTAGATTTACAGGTCACTGCAAACGCCTGAACATTGAGAATGGGCAGGATTGCAGATGTCTGCTGCTGTTAAAATGCAGTGAGTGATGGAGGAGGATGCCTGAAGCCACTGGCTGAGCCTCACATTTACTGATGACCACATACCTACCTGTAGCTGCCCCTGAAAAATAATGACTTCTCTTTCACCTTTAAAATTTTGTGTAATTGTCTTTCAGTGGTGGATTCTTAAATGGAATCCTGCTGGTGAAGGAATGTGGGCGATGCTTCTAAGCCCTGCCAGACAGGGAGGGATTAAAAGATGGGGATGGTGTAAAGCATCAACAGGCAAAATCCAGCACATGCCCTCATTTCCCTTAATCAGAATACATATAAACTCTTTTGCTCAGAATTTGTGGATCCAGCAAATTCCACTTTGGAGTATTTACCTGAAGAAAATGAAATCACCATCTTGAGGATATATCTGCACTGCCATGTTTATCACAGCATTATTTACAATAGCTAAAACATGGAAGCAACCTATGTGTCCACTGATGGATGAATAGATAAAGGAAATATGTGTAAATACATATATATGACGTACATAACATATATATATGTATATTTTAAGTATATAAAATGATTCAATCATAAAAGGAAGGAAACCCTGCCATTTGTGACAACATGGATGGACCTTGAGGCCATTATGCTAAGTGAGATAAGTCAGACAGAAAAGGACAAATACTGTATGATGTCACTCATATGTAGAACCAAAAAATAAATAAATGAACTCATAGCTACAGAAAACAGTTTGATTGTTGCCAGAGGTGGGGAGTGTGGGAGAGATGGGTGAAGGTGGTTGAAAGGCACCAACTTTCAATTATAAGTCCTGGGGATGTAGTGTCCAGCATGGTAACTATACTGAACAATACTTTCAAATGTACAATACACTCGTATTGTACATTTGAAAGTTGCTGAGAGAGTAGATCTTAAGATTTCTCATCATAAGAAAAAAAATACCTGTTTCAAGTGATGGGTGTTAACTATACTAATTGTAATTTTTTAATATATTCATATAATAAATCATTGTGTTGGCCACCTAAAACTAATATGTACAATGTCACATGTCAGTTATACCACAATAAAAATGTGTGCTTTTGCATATTTGACACCTTTAGCGACCAACATTATATGTTTATATCAATACAACTTGGCAGGTGAAGCACACATTGTTTTTACTGCTCATTTTGCCTTGTGACTTCTGCTACTCCCTTACATCTGAAGTGTCCTCTTTTTAAAAACACGTTCATGTCATAACTTAACTGTTATCTCTACTTAACTGGTCTCTCCTGTATCAGAACTTCTACCATATTTTAAAAGTAAATGTTGTAAAAATTAATAGAGTGTCTCTCCCACTAGATTAAAAGTTTATATGCCTTATTTACCAATCGATTCCAACTTTTTAGAAGAGACTGTCACATAGTAATTGCTTAATATTCATTACATGGATGAATGAATATCTGTAAGTAAAGGATTGATCATATGGTCTATCTATAAAAAGTACTTCCTTTCAGCCCACTAAAAAAGGGAAAGAAGTATAAAGCTATATCCACTCATGTAGGAAGCTTCTTTGGTATAATTGTAAGTGATGAGAGAAAGTGACATGAAATAATACAAATATAAATACCTCATTTTTTCTAAAAATTATCTGCATATTTTTCTGTACTTAGATAATAGCTGGGAAAGTACCTACTATTAACACTAGGTAGAGAGCTAGGCTGTTGAGTGGCAGGTGAATATGTTACATATTTTTGTTTTTGAATATGTTAAACAAGTATGCATATACTACTTTGTGTGTGTGTGTGTGTGTGTGTGTGTGTGTGTTTATTTTGGTATCATTAATATACAATTACATGAGCAATATTGTGGTTACTAGATTCCCCCCATTATCAAGTCCCCACCACATACCCCATTACAGTCACTGTCCATCAGTGTAGTAAGATGCTATAGAATCACTATTTGTCTTCTCTGTGCTATGCTGCCTTCTCTGTGCCCCCTGCTACATTATGTGTGCTAATCATAATGCCCCTTATTCTGTTTCTCCCTCCCTTATCACCCCCTCCTTCCCCAAGTCCCTTTCCCTTTGGCAACTGTTAGTCCATTCTTGGGTTCTGTGAGTCTGCTGCTGTTTTGTTCCTTCAGTTTTTGCTTTGTTCTTATGCTCCACAGATGAGTGAAATCATTTGGTACTTGTCTTTCTCTGCCTGGTTTATTTCACTGATCATAATACCCTCTAGCTCCATCCATGTTGTTGCAAATGGTAGGATTTGTTTTCTTCTTATGGCTGAATAATACTCCATTGTGTATATGTATCATGCATATACTACTTTTTAATGAAAATAGGTTTCAAAGAGCAACTCCATAGATTCCTTATTGCTTTATTATGTGGGACCTCTTTAAACAGAAAGGTAGTAGTATTAGATAAAATGCAAGAGACTTTTCTTTAAAAATTTTTTTTCATCAAAAAAAAAAATGAAAGAATTACCTGGAGCAAAATGTTAAAGTTGCCTGTTGTGCCTTCCTGCCTTGCCACCCACTCACTCAGAAAAAAGCCACATACATTGTTTATCCGCTCATACATTTTCTGTGCATACTAAACACAAAACTTATTCTTAGATTTACTTTTTTTCTTTTTCTGGACATTTTTTCTATCTTTGAACATAGAGATAGACATACGGCGTTTCTGTCTAACAGTAATGTAGTATTTCATTGTGTAGATATGTACCATAATTTATTTAAACAGTGCATAAATTTTTCTGATTACATTTTCTTTTTTCTTACAAAGGAATATAATTTAAGGAAGCATTTTCTCTGTCTCAATGAAATCTTAACAAAATAGTACATATAGTTTAGTGACCCATGCTTTGGTACATTTCTGCTTTTTTTGTTTTAATTCCCTTTTAATGGTTTTTTCTTTGTTCTCATATATTTCAGGTCTGCGGATCAGTGGAGAGCTAATTACTGCCTATCCTCAGGTGGTGGTAGTGAGAGTGCCAACCCCTTGGGTGCAAAGTGATAGCGACATCACTGTGTTGCGCCATCTAGAGAAGATGGGATGCCGGTTAATGAACCGGCCCCAGGCCATCCTTAACTGTGTTAATAAGTTCTGGACATTTCAAGAGTTGGCTGGTCATGGTGTTCCTTTGCCAGATACTTTCTCTTATGGTGAGTTTGCTAATAAGTTTTAGAGCACTGACAGTTTTGAAAGCCATACTAAGTTAATAGGGTTATGTGATATAAGGGAATTTGTGAATATGAGAAAACTTACAGAAATAACTTTCAGTTTTAACAAAATGGGCAGGAGAATTATGTATCATATCTTAAGATTTAGCTCTGTGATATGGATAGAATGGACTTAGAAAAATTATTTTCCTGTAAAGGGCCAAATGGTAAATAGTTTGGGCTTTCCAGGCTGTAAGTTTTTTTCTTCTGACTGTCAGTAATGCTTCTGTAGTGTGAAAGCCACTATAGACAATGATTAACCAAATGAGCATGGTTGTGTTCTATAAAACTTTATTACAAAAAAGGGAAATGTGCCAAATCTGTCTTACAAGCCTGAGTTTACCAACTCATAGGTTAGGTGAAAAATAATAAGAACTTGGTGTCTCTGTTTAATGATCTTCATTACTATTTTCATGATAATTCTTCATAAATATTTTCTTAATTTTTAAGAAACTGACTCTATACTGCATTTGCCTTAAATTAGTGCCTCTAAAACTGTGGTGAAGGGTCCTTTTTTTTAAGACCTGTCTGCTGCTGGTCAATACTCTTATAAAGTACAATAAAAATACCACAACATTGCCAAATTGCTATAAAACCTTCTAGTGCTTACTTTTTATATTTATCTGGACAGATATCAAAAGAAGTCACAGATAGGCACAGTTTAGTGGACTACACTTTGAGTAGCACTGTTATAAACAATATTATGTTAATACATTTCCTGCCTTCCTAGTTGTTTTAGTTTAGAGAAGATGAGACTTACTATAAATCAGTATAATTTTTCATATGGATATTTCTCCAAATAAATGTCCAGTAGAGTATTTGGAGTGTTATGAGGCTTTAAAAAGACACCCCTGTCATCTTATCTTTTAATATTTTAGAGAAGGGAACTCCTCAAGCCTGTATGGCAAGTGTGCATACAGTGGTCATTTTTAGCAATTGCATAGGAGAGAGAATATGAATAGTTTGAGAATTCTGTCTTCCTGATGCTTTTGGGATGTTACAGCTTATATCATGAGTCTACAATTCTGATTTTAAGAGAATGGAAAGAGAAAAGGGGTAACCACATTAACAAATACTACCTGTGCTCTAATTTTGAAGGTTTGAAATGTGGGGACTGAATCATTGTAATTACTCTAGGCTGTAAATTTACAATATTGAAGTCATTTGATGAAATTCTTCCTGTTTTAATTTTTCTGTGTTATCATGCTGATTTTTTTACAACTGCAATCCGGTTTCACTCTTGTCTTGCTACTATGTCATTTGTTCCTGGGCAATAAAAAAGTAAGAAGCAAGACTTAAACCATGGGTACTGAGTAGCTCAGTGTAGAAAGGACTCTGATTAAATAATGGAGATAAGAAAAATTAATTTGTATGTTTGATTGGTGGGGGGGAGTGTGTGTGCGCGTGCATATACACACAAATGCAGCATCTTTTCAACCTTGGATGTGTCTTCTCACTGACTTACTGTTTATCCAAATAAAATTGAAGATACTAAAGTAGATTTGGGGGTTTCTAATGTTATTTGTGTGAAAGAGGAATAGGGATAAAAATATGAAAAATGGTAGAGAATTAAGGAACAATTTGATTTGAAAGATAATTTCTCTTAAGTTGGGTATTAGAACATGTATAGTTTAAGAAAACTTTCATCCATTTTAAAAGGTGTGGTTTTAAACTGATATTTATACTTTCAACTTTTATTAATTACTTACTCCAAAAAACCCAAAATTTAGCCATCAGCCTGCTACTGCCTTCTGTTATTGACATTAGTATAGATAAGATTATCAAGCACCTCTGTTGCTGTTCTTGTTTCTTTTTTTCTCAACCCAGGTGGTCATGAAAATTTCGCTAAAATGATTGATGAAGCAGAAGTACTGGAGTTCCCAATGGTAGTGAAGAATACACGAGGCCATAGAGGTGTGTATGAGTCGTTGCTATGGCACAATATTGTGAAATACTATTGAGAATTCATAAGGGTGATTATACAAAATAGAGTTTTTAAAATCAGATCAAAGCAATTACTGATTGCTTTGTATTTGCTCATAGCTATTGACCAGATGGTTGTCTTGTCACTTGAAATTTATAGCTTTTGAAGTGGGGTTTCTGAAGAATAATTAGAGGAATGTTGTTAGGTACATGATATCAAATTTATAGGCTACTGGAAGATGGCGGCGTGAGTAGTTCAGAGGAAATCTCCTCCCCAAAACATATATATTTATGAAAATACAATAAATACAAACTATTCCTAAAAGAGACGCCTGTGGATGCAGTACAACAGCCAGGATACATCTACATCTGCGAGAACTCAGCATCACACGAAGGGGGTAAGATGCAAGCCACGGCCAGGCGGGACCCGAATGCTCCCCCACCCCAAAACCCAGCGGGAAGAAAGGAGTCAGAACGGGAAGGGAGTGAAAGCCCAGGACTGGTAAACGTCCAGCTCTAGAAATCTGCACCCGGAACGCAGACACAAGGTGCACAGGGTGCTGGATGTTAGAGAAATGGAAAAGCAAAACCTGTGGGCAGGTCCCCGCAACCGGCACCCCTGAGACAAAAGAAAAGCGAGTGCTTTCTGCAAGTCTTAAAAAGACAGGGACCCCATAGCTGGACGAAGTTGTCGCGGCACATATAGCCAGCAGCTGGGAATCTTGGGGAAACTTAGGCACCCTAAACACCGGGGAGGCAGTGCAACTCTGAAGCCCCTCATGGCATTAAGCAACCTGCAGGTTGTTCCTCCAACTGGCGTGGACCCTGACACACAGGCCCAGTAGCAGGAGAGTGGGAGCACACGCCGGGGGCAGAAGCGCTAGAAGGAACCGAGAGCAGATCCGTGCACCGCAGGGCTAGCCTGCAGCGGCGCGACTGAACAACCCGACGCAGGTCGTGCGTGCTGGCGGCAGTGAAGCCAGAGCCTGGTAGAAGCCTGCACGGAAAAGCCCCACGCGCACCGGCAGTGGAGCTAGAGGGACCAAGCGCTCTCCCAGCAGCCGACTGGAATCCCAGCCCAACGCACAGCCGCCCGGGCCAGACCCAAAGGCTGCTGCTGCCACACAGCTGCCTGGCAGGGTCGCCGCTAGCACGGAGGAGCGCACCTGGCGTGCCTGCCACTCCCCACAGGGCTCCATGCTGCTCTGACAGACACCCCGCCCACAGCAGCTTAGGGGACTAACCCAGTGGCTGCTCCAGGAGTGCAGGTAGCCGTCACAGGCAGCGGAGAAGGGCAAGGCATCCAGCAAGCAGGAAAGGACTTTCTTCTCCCAGCTGACACACCCGCAACCTGCCTACAGCCACTGCAATCACCATGAAAAGGCAAAAAAATCTGGTCCAGACCAAGTTAGTTACACCTGAAAAAGGATCTGCAGAGGCAGACCTAACCAGTCTCCCTGAAAAAGAATTCAAAATAGAAATCATAAACTTGCTGACAAAGCTGCAGAGAAATATGCAAGAGCTAAGGGATAAAGTCTGGAGGGAGATTACAGATATCTGGAGGGAGATTACAGAAGTGAAACAAACTCTGGAAGGATTTATAAGCAGAATGGATAAGATGCAAGAGGCCATTGATGGAATAGAAACCAGAGAACAGGAACGCATAGAAGCTGATGCAGAGAGAGATAAAAGGATCTCCAGGAATGAAACAATATTAAGAGAACTGTGTGACCAATTCAAAAGGAACAATATCTGCATTATAGGGGTACCAGAGGAAAAAGAGAGAGAAAAAGGGAT